TAAAATTCCAAAAGTGACTTTTAATAGATTTTTACATAATCATTGTTCTGCTCAAGTATTAACTACTTAACTCTCCAGGATTTCACCATACTACATACTGAATGGACTTTTTTCAAGTATAGGCTTTTCTCATGAATTCCTTGAAGGTCTCATTCAGTCATTTCCAACTCCTCCATGACCTCTTTTGGGGTTTCTTTGCAAAGATACTGGAGTGGTTTGCCATTTCCTTCATTTACAGCTCATTTTACACATGATGAACTGAGACAGACAAGGGCTAAGTGACTTGCCCAGGGTCACACAGCTAGTAAGGGTCTGAGGCCAGATTTGAATTCAGGAAGATGAATTTCCTGACTTCAGTGCCAGGCACTCTATCTACTGTACCACCTAACTGCCCTTTGAAGTCTTATTTGTTTATAAAAGTTTTTTTTAACCTTTAAACAAAATGGTTAGATTTTTGAAGATTCAAGTCTATATTTTTAAAATGTGTGTGTGTGTGTGTGTGTGTGTGTGTGTATTCTAGAGTTGAAGGCAATTTTTTTTTAACTCACATGCATACATGTATATGTCTATTAGCACTTCCCTCCCTAAGGATAGGTAGTGCTTACTAGCAACCTACACCCTTTCTGGGATGTGGCTTTCCTTTCAAACCCAGGGCATAGAAAAAAATGGTTGCCCTTCTAGCTTGCTCTCCTAACCTCTTGGATCTCACGTACCAGGTCAATTATGAGTATCTTTCTGGGGATTTTTCTTTCTCAAATAAGCTTTTATCTCCCTTAAATATATAGCTCTAACCCTAAACCAGTTTGCACTAGCAAAATCTAAATTAAATTTATGAAGCTTCATTATTTTAGACCTCTTCATTATCCAAGTTCTCCTCCCCAACCCCCCTGCCAGTTTCCCAGCTTAAGTAAAGTTAGCAAAGATTTGATAATATCTGGTTTTAATGAATTGGCGTTACCATGTACACATCATTTTGGTCAAAATTGAGTCCTACATGTCCCTCTCTTTTTGTCAGTCATTCAGCAGCATTTTATTGTGGAAAGATTCCTAGACTTGTCCTCAAAAAAGATCTTGGTTTGAAATTCAGTTCTGAACCTAGCTGTGGCATCCTGGGCAAGTTGCTTAACCTCTTAGAAATAGAATTTCTTCATCTATAAAATGGATTTTTATTAGAACTACCTAGCTTACAGTGTTTCTCTGAGTAAACTACTTTGGAAACCTTAAAGTGTTATATAAATATAAGCTATTAATATATATGGTGCACCCACTGTATACAATACACTGTATCAAAAAGGTTTTGCCACACGTTTTATTTATTCAGTTTGACAAACATTTATTGAGCACCTACTATGTGCACGACACCATTATAGGCAGTTTGAAATACAATGATAAGCTAGACATGATCCCTGCCTATAAGTGGTTTATTACATACTAGAAAAAATGAAATATAAACAATTAAATATAAGCAGATAATGAAAAGCTATTGGAGATAACAAGCCAAGTACTTTCATAGTCCAAAGGACTGGGAGGAATCACTTCTGATGGGAATATTCAAAACTGGCTATATGGAGGAAAGTCTTGAAGGATTACCAAATGGATCCTTTGTCTTTTTTTTTTCTGTAATGTTCATTTTCCAAATGACAGCCTTTATATTTTACTACAATTTTATTTGAATTACAGTTTGCAAAGTAAAATTATACACACCAGCACCTAACCTCTTATAGTTGTGATTTTGCTTTCTTTTGGTAATTTGTACTGCTTTCTTATTTTCAGATTTTTCTAGTTCCACAGGAAATAGAAAGATACCCCACCCCGACATTCTAGCAAATAATTGGAGTCAAGTAAAAGCATTTTTATTCCAGATTTTGGCAAGTTAGTTTTTTAGACAGCCAAGCGTCTATTAGGAACATTTTTGTACTAAATGTAAATAATGTTTTGTAAGTATCAGACTTTGACATTGTTCTTTAAAACTGTGATTATCCAGTTGATATCATCAAATGACATGATAGATCCCAAATATTGTTTGTTCTCATTTCTGGCCTGATCTGTTAGTAGTTTGGGTAAATAGAATAAACAAGTTATTTTTCAGTTATTATTTTTTTATTGCTGCCTAAATTGCCAAGTAGTATTTAAAAGAGTCTCCTCAATGAGAAAATGCCACAAGATTTGATAGGAGATTCAAAACAAACTCCATTATTGCTTTAGATTAAAAAAAAATTTCACTTCAGCTTTCTTGCATCAGGGTAGAAAGAAATTCCTATTTACATTAGAACAGAGCTCATTCATTTTCATCCAATGATACAGATCACTGTATTTTGTTACACAGATGTGACAAATAGAATTACAGCTGCTCTTTATTTGATCTTCTAAAGAGACAAAGATGTGCAAGGATTGTGCCTGCTCCCTTTTTCCCACAGTGTCATCTGTTATTTGGGAAAGACTCCTAATTTGTAGCAGTCACAAAACTATTTGTTGCATTTCAGGTTTGCCAAAAATAAATGAAACCATTAATTACTACATTTTTGAGCAGCTGTTAATAAATTGGGATAGGAAAACTGTACATTAAACTACTGGTTAATTACACATACTATGTTTGTTTAATGTGGCTTTTCACAGAAATTATAGTATCAACAAAAGGAAATGATCCCTTATTTAAGTGATTTAAGAGTGAAAATCATATCTTTTATCTGTAATTTCAGCATTCTGTTACAAATTATTATCTTCTCCCATGCTCAAAACATAATCATATTCAAAAGCCAGAATTTAGATGGACATTCTCTTTTCATTTTTCTAACATAATAGCTTTTCTAAACCTAATTTTTAAAATTCTAAATTATTAGTATTTTATCACATTCACTAAAGCTGTTATTGTTTCCTAGTTCTGAAAGACTTTAATAAGACTTAAAGTGACAAAAGTAATTTTCTCATTCTACCATTGTACATGTACAACTATGTGAAAACTGTGAGTAAATATTGATGTATTTTCTATTTCATTTTTATTGGATTTTCTAATTAAAACATTTTATGATTTTTAGATAAATTTCTAAGATATCTGTGGTATAAAAAGTTAAAGTATTTAGAAATAGCATTTGAAAAACTATTTTAAGTGATTTAGCTGATCGGTTTCACTTTACAAGACCAAATTATTGCATCAAAAAGTAGCACAATTCACAAATTACTAATTTCTTTCCTCCTGTCCTTTTGGCATCATGAAATTCTAACTTTGCCTGCCAAGATTTTAAACTAATAATTACAGAATGTTACTTTAATTTGTGATTATACTAAATAAAATTAGGATGAGCCAATTAGATTTTTGAAAGACTGGTATTTAATTATATCAGATGATCCCAAAGAACAAATTTGTCATTAAGAAAATAAGTTATCAGAATCTGGTATTTTTTAAATGAGAAAAGGGATCAGCAAGTCCCTAGGTGAAGTACCTGCATGCCCTGTACCTGAAGTCCAATAGATAGACCACTAGATAATTTAGGATTACTAATGGATACACAGCCTTTCACCACTAGAGTTCCAGTTAAATTTAGCTATGGTCAGTGATGATTAAAAGTAATTTCCATCTGAAAGCTACTCAGTGACCTATGGCCAAAATGTTTGTGGACGCAGGTCCATTTCCTTAACGATAGGTGTCTGTTTCACTGTTGGCACATTTCAAATTGATTCAGTGATTAAATGTCCATGGACCTTTCAGTCCCATAGATGGTTTCCCTTCGAAATGATTAAGGTATATCTGCAGGATGATAAAAGAGTGGCTTGTGGGGCTACTAAAATTTAAAATAAATTTTAAGCATTTGCATATATGCAAAATTACTATAACAAGAAAGTTAAAAATCTTAATTTTACAGCATATCAATGTTAATATTAGTATTTGAGGTCAACAGAACATTGAATACTAGCTGCTACTTGATAGGTTTTTCCATAATACTCACAGAAACACACTTCTTTCATTTACTAAATCAAAAATGGCCTTTCTAGCACAAAAGTGTCTATCAAAGTGTTACTTTTTCCTATGTGCAGCACAGGGTTCTCTTTTTCCTGTGTTTTTTTTTTTCATTTCTTTCAAACTTACTAACTAGTTCCATCAGATACTACTCTTTAGATGAGTATAGTACAGAAACCCAAATCACACTAACTTATCAATTCTATTTTCAACTGCTTCATATATCTTCATAATGAAAACGATAGCCAGCTAAATCATCTTACAATCTAAAAATTTAAGATACTAAAAAATGCTTTGAATTCCTATGGAAATAGAATGTAGGATAAGATTTAGATCTTCAACATTGAGCTACTATTAATTGCTGCTGATTTTCTTCTTTTTTGCTCTTATACAGTTGGTAGCAAATACTGGCATAGTTAACAAAATAGCCATTCCATATTCTTAAAAAATAAATAAATAAATATGTATTTTACAATCAGAGTTTGACTTCTGCATTTTCCTTGTAGAAACAAATATTTTCTCCCTCATTCCTTAGTGACTTATTTGCGTACCAAGATATTGGCAAGGATTTGCCTTTGTTTATTTCATATACTTTTGATCAATTCCAACTCATGCCCAATTATATTACACTAAATTAACATAATTCAACAGATGTTGATATTTAAATGTTTTCTGGCATTCAAATCTTGGACAGCTGTCTTAGAGCTTGGGGAAAAGGCAAACATTTAGAGTTAAATGCTGAACATATGCTTAAATTACTAATTAGAAACAAGAAAAAAACAATCCATTATCCTTTCGGAGGACAATAAACCTCAGATACATATTTTTCTAAACTCTTTTCACACCAAGTTATAGTCAAGGGGTGTTTTGAGACTGATGGAGCAGGAGTTGTGCTTATTAATAGAGAACTAAATTTAACTTCAAATAGGATTACAAATGTTCATCATGGATTTGTTTAATTCGGATGAATCATTTTTTGTATCCCCTTAGCACCTAGCACGGTGCCCTGCTCAATAAATGCCTTTAGAATTAAATTGAACATTACCTGCTGTTTGGGTTAAGCAACATCAAAGTGAAGGGAAGTTCCATCTGGGACTACTAGTGCCCTCCATCACTCCTTTGGAAGTTTCAGGATTAAACTGAGGCCCCACACCAAGTCTTCCCAAGCGTCCTCTACTACTAGCACTGCTTCTTCATTCTATCTAATAATCAAAAACAGTAAAATATCCTTTAATGAAGGAAATAAATGCCATCTATACTTCTTTGTCAGAAACATTACTACCAGTTAAGCTTAGGAGAGTATATAATAGGTTTGGCCAAAGATCTAAAATGTACAAAGGAATCCTTTTTATAAAAGTGTTAGAATGAATAAGCATGTAAATAACAAGTATGTAAAGAAAAAGAATTTACCTCTATGAATAATATGTTACAACAGTCCAACAAACATGAGGCACACTAATTTATCGGTGGCATTCACCTATTTTGTAGAAAATAACAACTAGACATACTTGGCCAATTCACGTAGTACAAAGAGACAGTATAACATAGTACAAAGAACACTAACCTAAAAGTCAAGAGGCCTAGACTCTAATCTTAACATCAGCACTAACTAGCTGTATGAGCTTAACTTTTCTTGAGTTCCATTTATTTCTGAATTGATGGGGCTGTGCTTAGATGTCTTCTAAAGCAGAGGGTCAGCCACATAACCCATGTTATGCATTGTCCTGCAGAACCTGATTAAAATGTAACTGGGAAACATTTAACAAAATAAATAAAAATACAAAACATAAATAATGTGAATATGTGATTGTCTAAGTCAATATGGAGCCAGAAAAGATCTTTATTACGATTTAGTGGGCCCACTTATATTTTAGTTTGACATGGCTGCTCTAATTTCCTGTAATTCAGGGAGTTGTCAAAGTCTGGGCTATAGACCACCAGCATTCAGTAAGATTACTGAAGTTGACCTACAAGTAGGCTAGAGTGTTAATATTAATAATAGTTTTACCACTTACTAATACTAATTCATATTAGTAATAGTATTAGTTAATAGTTGTTTCATTCAGCAAGTTCTTATATAATGCGTGGTACTGGGCACGGCAGGGGGAACAGAAAAACATGTACTGTACAGATCTTATCCTTTAGGAATTTACAGTCTAATAGATGAAATCAGAGTCTTTTTTGTACCTCATTGTAACTTTCAATCAAGCCCATCTGTATTTGTAGCTAGCATGGACTCTCTAATATGACGTATGCAGGGGAATATCTTATTTGGGGTGGGAGAATTTTTGAACCAGCAAAGTAAAGCGCTTCTGAAAAAATTTACAAACTATAAACATAGTGGTTCTCATGTTCTCATGTCTATAACTGTCTGACAATTATATGACTGTGAAGATGTTATAAAAATAATCAGCAAAAGTCTATTCCATTCTCATATTATCTTCAAGGATACCTTCAATTCCTGTGTAATCCTTCAATTCCTACATAAAACAAGAGACAGTATGGTACCATGGAAAAAAACATTGGGTTCAGAGTCAGAGGAGCTGAGTTTCAGTCCTGCCTCTGTCACTTGGTACCTGTATAACTGTGAGCAAGTCATTTAACTTCTCTGGGCCTTTGTTTCCTCATCTGTAAAATGAAAAGATTGGACCAGATCTGGGGTCTGTCTTAGCTCTGCATCTATATACCTATGATCTTAATTCATTCTGAAAAAGTAGGCATATTGTTTAACAACTGCTAATGACTTCTTGTTTCCATGATAAAAAACAGTACATGTGATCTTCACTATTTTGTAATCTTCCACTGTCTGAAATATCTTTAACAATCGGTCTTTAAGGACTTTTGGAATGAAGGTGATATACCTTCAGAGGGGACTTCGTCTGTACTTATTTAGTCGGATCCAATGACTCTTGGATTCATGTTGGTTAGTACCATTGCCACTCAAAGTAGATTGGATAAGTGAGTCAATAGAGTCCAATTATAGTAGTTACAATATTGTCAGCAGATCACTATAGAAATTCCAACAGTTCTATTCCATTTCATTTCTGTGGTTTTAGTGGATTGGGAATTCAAAATTAATCAGAAGTATAGTATACCAGCCAAAAAAAAAAGTACATTATTAGATTACATTGAGGAGTCATGATGTTCACGAATAGGAAAGTAATAGGTCTACTTTGTTCTGACCTACTTAGACTACATCCAGAGCTGTGTTCAGTTCTGGACACCTAGTCTTAGGAAGGACATTGATTAACCCATAGAGACATAAAGGAAGACCAGGGTGGTGAAGGCCCCTGAGAACTTACCGTATGAAGATTAGCTAAATGAACTAAGAGTGTTTCACGTGGAAGAGAGAAAACTGTCAGAGCTTTCTTCAAGTATCCAAAGCATTGTCTTGAAGAGAGAAGGGATTAGACTTGTTCTGCTTGCTCTAGAAGGAGGAGCTAGCAGCAGCGTGTGGAAGTGAAAAAGGAACAGACTTAGGTTTGATGTAATGAAGACCTGGCTGCTTGCTTTAAGAAGTATCGAATTTCCCCTTACTAGAGGTCTTCAAGCAGAGGCTATCAGAATTCTTCGTTAGAGGGCCTCTGCATCCCCCTATGCCTCTGTTAATCTATCATCTCTCCAGTTTCATTTACAAACATTTGTGATCTATCTTATCCAGATTTTATGCCAAGTTTCTAAGGGCACATTTTGCCTCAACTATTTTGTTTATGTTTTATGTGTCATTGTTGCTCTCAATATGTCATATTCCTCTAGAATATTTTCTGCAGATGCGTTTGCATTCCCAACTAGTGTTACCATTGGTTGCTATGTTTCTGTGTGTTATTAGGGCTTAAGGATTTGTTGGCCCAAAGAGTTTCTGGAACTTTTTGGTATCATTGTTATGATCAGTGTTTTTTGCCATTTCAACTTCTGTAAAAAAAATCATAGATTCATTATCTTTAAATTTTCCTTTTCATTTTTTAGAATCTCCAGCTTGTTTAAACTGGTCAGATTGCAGCTGAGGCATGCAGTGTCATCTTTTCACTCTTCCCTATGGAGATTCACTCTCGTAGAGATTTTTACCTTTACTTGACCAGTCAATAGTGTGCCTGCACACCAACAATAATTTTGAAACAGTCCCCATATCATTAACAAATCTCTTCCTGTCTCTTAAGATATAGTTAATTTCCCCTCTTATGTTGAGATGTTATTGTACACCACATTTGGTGCCTTCCAGCTCACTTCTTGAACTAAACTCAACAAGCATTTTTAATCATCTGCCATATGTCAGACACTGTGCTAAGCACTGTGGTCACAAGGACAAAAATAAAACACTCTGTGCCCTCAAGGAATTTTTGTTATACTGAAGAGAACACCATATACAAATAAGTAAATGTAACTTATGTACAAAGTAAATATAAAGCAATGTTTTTCTGGGGGTGGGAGGAGAGCAAATTTTTTTTTAATTTATTTATTTATTTGTTTTTAGTTTTCAACATACACTTTTATAAGATTTTGAGTTTTAAATTTTCTCTCCTTCCTTTTCCTTCCCCCTCCCTAAGACAGCATTCAATCTGATATGGGCTATACATGTACAATCATATTAAACATACTACCCTCAATTTCTAATTCTTTGTCACCACAAAAAGAGCTACTATAAATATTTTTGTGCACATGGGTCCTTTTTCCTTCTTTATGATCTGCTTTGGATACAGACCTAAAAGTAGTATTGTTGGATCAAAGGGTATGCACAGTTTTATAGCTGTTTGGGCATAGTTCCAAAAGCAAAAACTTTCTTAAAGAAAGTATTCATGATGTGTAGATACAAGATGACTATAATCTAAAAGTCTGTGGGCTTTTTAATTTCTTCATTCCAAATGTTTTCTGACATAGTTGTTTTTTTTTAACCATCCCTCTATGTCAACCTTCACATTTTAATCAATATTAAGGAATATATTGACTTACTTTAAAGTATCTTCTCAGCTTCCTCCTAAAATTTGTCTATTTTTTCATCCTTTGCATGGGTGTTGGTGCTATAACACATAAACTGTGAATATCTTCTTGATGGTCTATTTGCTTAAGCTTAAAATGAAACTGCAAGTTTATCATCAAGTGTCCCATGAAATAATGTTACATGTACCTTTGAGGCATATGATAAAAAGAACTCTGCAAACTCGTTTATAAATTCCTCTCCCAAAAATCTAGTTAGCTGCAACTTCCATTCATGGAACCATCACATCCACCTATATGACTCTAAGCACTCTTTGCACCAATTTCTGTCACTCCATCATTATCTCTGTGGATTCAAAAGAGGACTACCTAATGTTAAGAGCTGTTCTGTAATTTTATATTGCTTTCCTAGGTTGAAATGACCAAAATAGTCATCATTTAATGGCCAGCCTCATGATCATTGTCTTCATAATTACCTATTCCTGTCTTCAGACAGCAAATATAAGACCCCTATGCAAAGTCCCTAGAACTTGGTAGAACCTGCAAGATCTTATACTTTGCTTGCAGAGCCTTTGAGATTCCATTCTGTGTCAGGTGTCAGAGTTGGATTTTGTGGAAATCCATTAACTTTAGTGAGTTTGTTTTTATATTGTAGTAGCAAGTGGTCTGTGAAATAACAGTGTTTGAGAATCAGTGGTATAATAGAATTTACTCTGATGGTATTCTGTTGCCATGTTCTATTATGTTGGTGTTTATGACAGATTCATATGGAATTCATTTAGTCCTTATTAGTTAGAGATAAATCTAGCATTTTATTCCTTTTGTACTGAAACAACAAGGAAAAGTGGATTTTAATGCTTAGAAACGCTATGGATCTGTTTCACTTAACAGTTTGGATAGAGGTGTATTACTGTATTCACATTATAATATTCAATTTCTTTTTATCCAGAAGCAAGAAGAGTAATCACAAATATTAGTTAAAAATTTGGTGGACATGATGTTAAACTAGAGTAAGATATTTCTCCATTATTTTCATAATGACTCATAATGACATTAAGTACAGTTTTACTTTGAGTCTTATTTGTAGATCATATATAAATTAAATCTTATGCTTTCTCAAATTTAGTCTTGTTTTCAAGCCACACTTGGTGTCTTGATTTTGAAACAGCAGCCTTTTGTATATTTAGGATTTTATTTGTGTACAAAGAAGAACAACTCCTTTCTAAAAATAATCTAATGTAATCTCTCTTATCATTTGGTATTTCAACAAAAAATGATAAATATAAAATAAATATAAGGATGTGCATTTTTATCTGAGCATGCATTATATAACTTAGAAAACAACTCATTGTCTTTTGCAGTGTAGGATTCTGTCTTTTAAGAATATTGCTAGACAATGCAACCTACTGTATTCAGCACAGAAGTAAAGAGTAATAAATTCTTTAAATAAAACATCCTAATAAAATTATCAAATTTTTTTTCATCCAAAGATTTCAGTGGGGGAAGAAAGGATGTACAGGGCATCTCAAATATAAGTGTAATGCTTATCAACTATCTTTGATGTTCAATTAAGTTATATAATGAGAATTCTTAACAGCAAGTATTTGTATGGCATTCTTAGATTTACCAAACACTTTGCAAATATCTCATTTGATCCTCACAACAACTCTGAGAGGTAAGTGTATTATTATCCCTATTTTACAGATGTAGAAGCTGAGGTACAGAGGTTAAATGACTTTATTAGGTCATGTAACTATCGTAACCTAAAGTCAAATTTGAATTCAGGTCTTCCCAACTCCAGTTTTAGCACTCTATCCACTGTGCAACCAAACTAATTTAATTCTTAAATACTTTGCCTACCATTGGGCATTTGTTTAATAATCCTAAAAACCTCCTACTACCTTATTTAGCTAATATGTAGACTTAGTTTTTGACTTTCAGAAATATTCATGAGGCACATCCTTAAAGAAGTTTTATGGAAGTGAATGTCCATTCTTTGACCAAGCATCATCATATTATAAAATTTACTGAAAGTATTATTTTTGTGTATTTTCTCCAGTAAAGTTTCAAACTGTCATAAGAAGAGCATTTTGGATTTAAGTGAGTACATGTATCATAAACCCACTAGATTTAAAATTTAAATACTTACCTCTATGAAGACAAGGAAGTGGATCAGATAAGTTCTGTAATTCTTTTCATTTTTAAGTAATTATTTAAAAATAATACAGAGCCCTAACTCAAAGTAAAATGACAACAAATTATCTGCCAAATCAGTGGTTGATAACAAAAAATCGCTAAATTCCCCACAAGTAAACATTAGTTTATGGCACTGTGTGTGGCACATAGTAGATGTTCTAAATAAAATCACACTATGCACTAGTAAGTGTTTACGGATTTAATCACACCTGTTAGACAGGTTATATAGCAGAAATGCTAAACGGACAGCCTGACTTAGGTTAGATGCCATGGGAATACTAATAGCCAGTCTACAAATTTGGTGAATTAAGATAGTAGACCAGACCAGATTTTGTAGCCCAGGAATTACCCTTTACTGAGGCATTCAGAGTATAGACCCTGTCTCCTTTTCTGGATCCTCCTCCAAATCATCCCCTCTAACTGTAGGTGTCCCTCATAACTCTGTCCTGGGACCTCTTCTCTTCTTCTATACTACTTCACTTGGTGATTTCAATAGCTCTCTTGGGTTTAATTACCATCTCTATGCGTACGATTCTCAGATATGCCTTTCCTGCTTCAGTCTCTCTGCTGACCTCCAATCTTGCATTTCTAACTGCCTTTCACACATCTCAAAATGGATGTCCAGTAAACATTGTAAATTCAGTATGTCCAAAACAGAACCCACTATCTTTCCCCCACCCCCCGAAAGCCTCCCCCATCAGTTCTATCTTCCCTGTTACTGTAGAGCAACACCATCCTCCCAGACCCTCAAGCTTGAAACCTAGGAGTCATCCTAGTTTCCTCATTATCTCTTAATCCCTGTATCCAATCTATGCCAAGGCCTATTGATTTCACCTTTGCAACATCTCTAGAATGCCCCTTGCTCTCCTCTGACACTAGAGCAGTATGCTACACCTCACTCCTGGACTATTACAATAGCCTGGCTGGTGGTCTACATGTCTCAGATTTCTCCCCACTCGAAATCATCCTCCATTCACCTACTGATGTGGTTTTCCTAAAATACAGGTCTGATCATTTCACCCTGCCACTCAATATACTCAAATGATTTCTTATTGCCTCCAGGAGCAAACACAAATGCTCTGTTTGATATTCAAAGCCCTTCATAATCTAGCCCCCACCTGCTTTTCCAGTCTTCTTACACCTTACTCCCCAACACAGACTTCAATCCAGTGACACTGGCCTCCTGGCTGTTCCACAAACAAGTCTCTTCATGCTCAGTTGCAGGCATTTTCTCTGCCTGTCCCGCATGCCT